CCACAGTGTTGTTCTGTACACAGCAGTGTGTGCACTCAGGCTGGAGTAAATATTCAAAAATAAATACATAAATACATAAAAATAAAAGTCGACGACGACTGTGTCCGTGTTCTTTCATTTGGTCCAGAAATACAGACAAAAACTTGACCGGAAACTCAAGTGTCATGATGTTTGAAATATCACCACGAGGGGGCGACTCCACCTCACGGAGTGAGTGTGACGATGTTGCTGCAGTGGTTAAAAATAGTCAAGATGAAGATTATTAATTAAATGATATCCATTAACATGTACTGACACCAAAGGTTATTAAAATATAATAAAACTGAAGTCGTTTATACAAAAAAACACTGTAGAAACTGAGATACTTAAAATATAATAAAACTGAAGTCATTTATACAAAAAAAACACTGTAGAAACTGAGATACTTTACTGCAGGTCTCTGTATATCTTTATGTGTATTTTGATGCAAAATATTATTACATAGTTATTTGTATTTTACAAGTACTGTACACGTAAAAAGGCAGACTTTGTACAGAGTTTTCATTTACAGAAACAACTGGATCAGAAAACATTTACATTTAAGTGTGAAGTTTAGATTCATTGCATCATAGTATCAACCAATGATTTGGGCCTTAAACTTGTGGTCGATATTTTTAACTTTTAATCTACATCATTTACTGACTGTTTTTTTTTTCTCTTCTCTGTCTCTGCAGCTCCACCTTCTGTCATTAACATTCAGTGCAGTTTCCTGCTGCAGCCTGACGTCTCATGACTTTTTCTTTAAACTGTAGTAATCATCTCAGAAGCAGCAGCTAATGACGTCCCCTCGTGCATTTCTTGCCTCCTGCAGCAGATGCAGACCGGACTCTCTCCAGACTCACATCCGGTGGTGAATAATACACTCCTCTTCCCCCCAAAAAACCTGAACTGTGCCTTTAAATACGCCGTTAAACCGCTGCATTGAGCGGTGCTGTTTTGAGCGGATGCTGATTGGCTGCCGCTGCTGCTCCACTGCAGCACAGTGACTCAGCAGACTGGATGTGTCTGACCCCGGGGGAGACGGACGGCTCCTCACCGCCTCACCACCTCTGCCCGTTAAAAACTGTGTGTGTGTGTGTGTGTGTGTGAGAGAGAGAATCTTCCTCATGGAAACACAATTCAATCAATTCATGGTGTGTGTGATCCGGTTATTCTCCATATTTACAGATGAGTGAAACTTTAAACCCACTGCACCGAGAGAGTTCTCTGACGTTAGTTTGAATGAAAGTGCCCTGTTTTATTTGCCTCTCTCCCTCACCT